GCACAAAACATCCACTTCTATAAGTAGATGCGTGCTAGCTATCTACATATGTACATAGTTAGACCTGATCATATGTACATGTGCACGTATGCATGCCGTACTACAGAATAGGTAGTTGGAGCAAGGGACGATGTTATACATTTTCGAGCGTTTGTTCATGTAGGTACGATATGTATGTTGGGTCAAGGTCGATCTTTGAAAACTTCTAGAAAGTGTGAATAGCAGCGCTGTACCTGTTCTAGCGCCTCAGCTGTACTAGTACATAGTACGGTACCTAGATATACGGATTGCATGTACGTTGGGCAGGCACGTTGGGTACGCTGGGCACGCTGGGCGCGTTAGAGACAGGCTAAAGTTTCCGTTTGTATTCCGTACTCCGTACTCCGTAACTAAGTAAGTAGCGTAGCGTGCTCGCAATGGGAAAAGAGAAAGAGCAAAATGGCTGGACTCGGGCGGCCATACTGTACCTGTCCGTACATAGTAGGTGGCAATACCGGTAGAGCAGGCAATTGCAATCCTGTGTCGGTCGATCATGAACAGGGCCATGTACCTACCCAATCTACAAAACTGGTAACATCCCGAGATCTACTGTAGTAATACCGGTGGCCACATTCTTCTTCCTTTTCCACCCGGATGCTGGTGCTCGAAGTCACATTTGTATCTAGTACTTACCGAGGTAACTATCTACTGCGTTCAAACTATTCCGCATATACTCTGGTCGTTACCGGCAAAACTATAGTCATCCTCAAAGTATACACTACTTACCGATACGGCGATACCCGGTTCATGAGGTTATCGTTGATGTACCGCCGTTAGATAGTGTATCTAGCGCATCTCTACTTACAAATTAATCAGCGCCCCCTAAAATCTAACCAGGAAGTTGGAACCCCCTGAATCTGTCGTGCTGGGAAGTACACGACAGTGTATGCAGAACTGTGCTATAACTAGTCGTGTGCAGTGTTACCAGTCGTACCTAGGTAGGCGACCAACCACTCACATACGGCAACGATACCGGACAGGAACCGGACGCAGAAGGCACCTTGCAAACGCTGCAGGTACGAAACATCTAGGTATGTCCTATAATATCATATAACCTGTCTCGGTGAATCTTCTGGCTATTCGGCGCTGCCTTTCTTTGACTATACACCAGGTACACTACCTGCGACTACCTACACCATGCTTATACAAGGATGGTAGGTGTCTACTTACTTACTTACTTGGTCAATGGTTCCGGTCATTCTGGCTTAGAATCGAGCTAGCATTCGACCCCCTCGACTTATTCTATTCTTGGCCTAGACTATCCTAATAGTAAGCCTGCCTTATTATTCTCACGATGATCGAGGGGGAGTTGCATCCTTTCACACAATTGTACCTATACTTGAGTTCGCCTCTCCTCCGTCAGGCCCTCTTTTTTTTCATAGCACGTTAGCGTACCGTATTGGCCTACTACTGCCACACTGTGCTGGTGGCACTCTGATGGGTTTATCGTGCACCAAGTCCCTCGACGTTCACTCCCCCTTTGCCCATCATACCAAAATCATACACTTCGCGATGAGGTGTACCTGGACTGTACAAAACCAGTGGATGGGGTGGCAAGGATTAGGCAGAGACCGCGCGAGTGAAGGCCCCGTAAAACTGACCATGTCCAAGGAGCACTCGTACCGGTACATTTGCCAATTAACATGTTTTCTTTCTCTCGTTCTTTTTGTTCTCCTTCGTACACTAACTACTAACTTCCCTTCGTTCCTGGCTGTCGGGTTTCGCGACCACGTTGAGAATGCTTGTTTTCCATGTCCATTTTGTTGAGCTTCTGAAAAATCCAGTCATCAATCGGGTTCCTTGCTATCGCCGTTTGCATTGTGATCTTGGCCCTGCTTGCTCGACTTCAAACAAACAAAAAGGGCCCTTCTACCACCCGATCCTTTCCTTTTCCTGGAGCGCCTCCCAGTCTGTCGTTTTGGCACGGTTCACGGTTCACGGTTCAACGGTTCAACGGTTTCAGCCTCTTCGCCGGCCTGCGGGTTTTTGCTCAGCTGTGTGCCATCCAAGTATCGCAGATCACATACCGAGGGTCAGACCCAAGCGCGCTGCAGAGCCCGCGCCGTAACAATAGCGAGTAGTTCTCGCACAGCGACATAACCGCAGCACTCATGGACGGTGTTCTTCTCGTTCCCCAGGATCGGGGGACCATTCTGGGAAAGCCTGCCTGGAAGGTAGCCACTGTCATCCGCTTACACTATTGTTTTTTTTCTCTCTTGCCGGACGCTGACCAAGATCATCCCTAGCCACGTTATGTTGTTATTGGCGCTTTGCCCCAGAAAGAGGGGGGACAGTCGAGTTCCTCCCTTTCGCAGGTCCTGTCCACTGGTCGCGTGAAAGACGTAGGCGGTAGGTCCTCGAAATCGCTAGCCAGGCCCATGGATGGCATCTACCTCTCTGTGTACAAATCCAAGGTATGCTCTAAGCGACACCGGTCTTTGATTGTCTCCCAAGTTCGCTAACACGACGACAGGACGATGTCGATCCCGTCATTCAATACGCGGTTGCGTCGATAATTGATTGTCAGGTGCAACAAATCATGCATCGAAAGCAGGGCCAATCACTGCCGACACTTACCGTGCAAATTGCCCCTGATCCAACAACTGACAAGTTACGCAAACGCCGGTCGAGTCGGGCGGGCGGGCTGATGTCCAGCAAGGAAGCGGGCCCAACAACACTAATGTTCCTCACCGCGGAAGAGTCAAGACATGGCCTGGGTGATTGGGCGCGTCACATTCAGTCTCTCATAAACCGACATGCGTCCCTGCCTACGAGTCCAATCAGCGCAGGACCGTCCGGTTTCATCAGCCAACTCCCCCCATTGCAAATTGGTGACGAACCGCAGCAGCAGACTGGGGCACTAGGAAAGCTCAGGTCAAAATTACAGGGGAAATCATCAAGCGGACCTCATCCTGCGTCACGCGATCCAAGTTCCACATATGCTTCTGATCCGCCGAGCCTTCGCTCCCACCGGAGCAATTTATCTTCCCCGGCGAGCATCATTGCGCCAGCCGCCTTGAACTTCGTGCAACAACATTACTCTAACGGACAGTACTCTGACCTACCCTCATCGCCCGGCTTTACCCCTGGTGAGACTTCAGAGCAGTTTATAGAAGGATGGACAACAGCACAGGGACGATCGTCAGAACTAAGCTCTCCGATTAGAGGCCGGGGTAGTATCAGCTCTAATGACCTTAATAATCAGCCGAGCGTAGACTCTAGCCCGCCAGCGCCTACGGTGCCCCGTGAGACCATCCTGGATCGAGCTTTTCAGATGCGATACATTCCCGGCGCCGATCGCGAGACCGCTGGCGAGGAGAAGCTTACATCCTTGGCACGATTCGAAGCATTAATGCGTGAAGTAGAGACTCATAAAGGGAAAGCTCGTTGTCAAGAGGTCACTCCAGCACCTCTGCGAAGTACATGGGAGTATGAAAGTGAGGAGGATGAGAAGAGCAAGGGCATAGAGAGCAACGAAGAAGACGAAGATAGCGACAACTATGCCCTTGAGCAGGACACTGATCGCGATGCGATACATTCGGCAGCCTTTCAGGCCCTGCGCTGCACGGAGAACCGTCATGGTTCGACCTACAGCGAGTACGGCTTGTCGGTTATGCGGCCACAGACGGCGGACAAACGATGCCGACCGACTGCTCCTCAGCGGACGAATAGTCAGCCCAGTATTCCTAGCGCCCAAGTGTTTGTCAGATCATCCCCTCCTGTGCGTTCAGAAACGGTACAGCGATCGCGCGACAAACGACGCTCTACCTACGACTCGAAGAACTCAAGTTTCAATGAATTGAAGGCGCGATTGAGCGGCGCGAATAGTTTGATTCACGGTCCATCGAACGTTAACGCCGCCAGCAACCGCCCGAGCGGCGATTACGACAAACATACCCCTCGGGCCTCGATGGGCGCCGCGCCGGCTACCCGACCTCCCAGCAACCAAGAGCGCCGCAAATGGCGTGGCAGTATCAGCGTATTTGGGAATGAAGGTGGCTTCTTATAATTGAAGTGCAGCTGTGCTCGATACTGACGATTCTTTATTTTTTTTTTTTTCTCGGCTCGATGCGAAATCTTTTCGGCGCACTACTAGAAGCCATGGACAGTATTAACTACAAACCGGCCTCTCGCTTGTTATGTATGACCTTACGACAATCAACTACGGCCTGAGCGTTACGCGACATTTAGATGGCATAGCGTGTCATATTTCATGAATCACAGCTTACGATGCGACATTGATGCCCCTTGCAACAAAAGAAACCAACATTCATTTTCTTACGAGGCTAGTCGAGGGATCGATGCGACAGGAAAAGGGAACTTTCACAAGATAACATTACCCGACATGTTTTACAACACACTATTTATCGGATTTTAGAGAGGGAGCTACGAGCAAGGAAAATTGGCAAAAAAAAAGGGCTCGCGGGTTTTGGAAGCAGATGAACTCTTCTCATCTTGAGGGTTTACGGGGTAACGGTTCCCATCAGCACCAGTATTGGGTGAATCCCCCTTTTTCAAACGATAATAACCGGAACAAGAGGTGAAAGAGTTTTGTTTGGATAACTCAACGGGGACAATTTCTGCGACGAATGAGAGATACCCCTAGCTTATACACCCACATCAAGCAGCAAATTGAAAAAGTATAATTACCTCGATGTGACCTGTGCTCTAGGTGTATATATATAACTATATATATGTGTGTGTGTTTGTCAACTGCGTCTCCGTATCTTGCTTTTAAGGCCATAGCGTTTGTAGGTACTCACAAGACATGTCGGGTGTGGATGGACAGCCCCAGCGCATCAACAAGAGAGCGAAAACCAGAATACCGCTGAGATGTGAACGATCTGCCACGTAAGGAATGAAAGCCACAAAACATAATCCCACTCAAAAAGAATAAATACTTACGGGACATGAAGAAAATAAATAAAAAATAAAAAAAAATAAAAAAGACCAAACAACACTGGACGAACGGGGATTTGAACCCCGGACCCTTCGCAAGCAGAGAAATTCTATGATTTAAGATAGGAAATCAAGAGAAAATGCAAAGCGAATATCATACCCCTAGACCATTCGCCCAAAAGTTACATCAAAAGTAGCAAGTTTGTGATGACGATTGATGTGTCGTTGTTGTTTGTTTGTTTGTTGTTCTTTTTGGGAAAAAACGCATCGATCACGGGACTCGAACCCGCAACCCCAGACTTAGGAGGTCTGTACGCTACCATTGCGCCAAATCGACGTGTTAAATCTTTTTTTTTGAATTGGAGTGTGTCTATTTGGGAAGATGACCATACCGTTTTTTTCTTTTTTTTTTCTTTCCCTTTTTACCTTAGGTATGTTTGAAAATGTCGTGCCTGATTGGTCGGTTTGATTTTGGGCTTGGGGTTTTTTTTGTTCGGCCCCCCCCCCTCTTACCTGCCGCTTTTCGCTTTTCGCTTTTCGCTTTTCGTTTTTCTTGGGTGGAGACGGGCACTTGGGTACGTACCGCTAGATACGGTTACACACTCACCCACGGTCCCGAACTCCTTATCTATCTACAGTAGATAAGAACCGGGAGGAGGGGGACCGGGTTTACGGGTGGCGCCTGAGCGTTACGAACGGACTTACAACAGATCGATAACTAACTACAGAAAAAAATAGGGAAAAAATGGGAAGGGATTGTTTCGGTTTCGTTTTTTTTCCAGACCGCTTCGACATTGTCGAACTCTGCGAACCTAAATGGTTTTTTTTTGTTTTTTTTGTTGCTTTTTTTGTTTTTTGTTTTTTGTCTTTTTCCAAAAAGAACTATTTTACTACAATATATTAGATAGTCTACTAGATAGACAAACGGGCACATACCCGACGGCTCGCGTGAACCTTACCTAGTAATAGGCCAATTATAACCCACCTACCTATTAGATATGATAGATACACGACTAGATAGATAAATAGATGGGAAGAGAAGTTTTCCCTTCGAGAGTCTGGGCCGCTCGAATCCTTTTTTTTTCTTTTTTTTCTTCGTTGGCTATGAGTTGCTCAAACTAATTAATTCAGCCTAACGGTTATTAGGGCCGTGAAGTGGTTAAAAAAAAAAAAGTTAGTGTTGATAAGGTTTGTTAGACACCTCATGGATCTATCCATCTATCTATCTACTCGTCCGTCAGATCTATCTATCTAGAAAGTAGGCAAGTATATATGTAGACCGACGCCCTTGTTTGGCATGGACGGACGGGAGCCGAAACCCTTTTCCTTTCCGCTCTCGAATCGCGTATCTTTTTCCTTTTTTTTTTTTTTTTTTAATTCTCTGGTCTAGTCTAGTCTAAACCCCGAGAGTCTTAACCCTCGGGCTGATTGTGCTTCTGGATTTCTACACATGACACGATCGAAGGGAATGCAGCTGTACTATGTTGTATATATATATATGTATGTGTATATACGGTTAGCCGTTTGAAGGGGGGAGGACGGCACGGAATGACTCCCGTCCCAAGGTCGCGACTCTTCTAAAGCGAAAGAGTAGATGATTAGATAAAATCAATGCGAGTATGTATCGATACTCAAGATGCCAATTGAGCGAGCCCGGGAGTTGAGCTGAGCCAGGCGCTGTGAGCTATCTACATAGTAGTCAAAGGTGACAGCCACAAATGCAGTCTGTATCTTGACTCATCCCTCGGTCGTCTATCTACACAAGGTACTTGACACTCCTATCTTACCTGCGCAGTTGAAGGATAAAGTTACATATGTAGTAAGTAGAGTATCTACTATTCAAATCTGTATTGTCTGTGTCTGGAAGGCATAGCATAGCTTTTTCGCGATGAACAAAGTTTCCTTTCCCTTCTTCTCTCGCTCGTCAAAAGACGGTTGGAAAAGGTTCGCATGTCACGTCAAGGAATAACTACGCGCCCACGATGAGCTACTTTTAAAAAAGAAAGATCTCAAGCTGTACAGATACTTACTTGCCCAAGAACCAGGGATTTTCAGAATTTTCAAATTCCAAAACCCGAAAAAAAAAAAAAAAGGCCTAAAGAAAAACGTATATTAGTTGTTGATTTTCCCTTTCGAGATTGTTTCGATCCTTTGGAAAGGTTAAAAAAAAAAAAAAAAACCCAACCAACGAACGAAATCAAAGCGGGATAACTATTTTCGGAATAAAAGTTGGGGATTCTAGAAAAAAAAAAAGACGTTTTTTTTTTTTTTTTACTACTTACTTATCCTACCTCGGTCAAACGTCCATCACATTAGATAGATAGATACATGTCTAGATAGGTAATCACAGGATATCTCGGAAGACGGGGGGGGGGGGGGGGGGGGGTATTGGGATTGGGTGTAAGGGGTTTTTGTTCGGTGTTGGGGTGGTTTTTTTAACATTTTTTTAGA